TTTGTACAAAATAAAAAAATAATTTTTAACGATACAATAGTCTTCGTTAGGCTTAACATCGACGAAAATTCAACGCGAAGCGACACGCAACAGAGAAAAATTTCAACATGGGATAAATTAATATATTTTTTCGTACATGATTTGTTATCCGAAAAATAAGATATCCGAACCACCCCAGTCCCCAATTGATTCGGATAAACGACGCTCTACTGTAATAAATTTTTAAGGTACAGAACAGTTGATATATACAAACAAATCACACCCCACCTGAAAAAATTAGGAAACAAAATTTGTAGGCAACGATCAAAATGGAAACAGTGGGAATCCTCGCAAGCTATACATCCACCACATTCTACAACAGCAATATCATTGTTGATGTCAGCTATCATTTCAAAATTATTTTAATACTGTTGTATCCACACAAGTATCTAATCCTCATACATTTTGGGGTTTTATACCAAAATTTTCAAAAAACACCCCATACAAACATTCAACAATACCTGATGATTTAATACACAAAAAACATTACACCACAAACACCCACAAAAACATTAAATCATCTTTTCCAAATTTTACCTAGGGTAGATTATTATAATCCTATTTATTTTCACAATTTTACTTATAATTTTAATATCTCATTATTATATTAGATATCAAGTAATGTCCGCTATCAGCAAATTAATTAAATATTCTAAATATAGTCCCTGACGACATTCCGGAAATTTTATTTTTATTAAACCCTTGATGTTAGTCATACTATCAGAAATGTTTTCCATTTTCTTGCAATCTGCATAATTTCCATAAGGGTGCAACTATGCAGACGCGAATTTAGAGTGAGCGAGAGGTTGCGAGCGATTTAGTTTTCGCAAAGGAAAACCATGTACAAATGAGAAGCGAGAATTAATGCTAGCGAGAGCGAATTTCTGGTTCTCGCACGTATCTGACAGGTTTTGATATTTATCGCGTCTCGCCTCTTCTCACCACATATTCTCGCTCGCTCGAATCTGCATAGTTGCACCCTAACAATGGCAACTATCAATCATCTCCCCAATTCCAAAAAAATAAAAAAAATAAGATAAAAATACATACTGTCCCATCTCAACTGCATTATCTATACTTAAAATGTTCGAAATATGCCTTTATCATGATATGTATTTCCCATAAACCAATATCTATAAATCTGATATACCGTACATACATAATAAGCCAACTACAGGATTATGTTGGGTTATTATATTGCCTGATATAATCTGGTCACTAAGATGGCACTTAATGCCTCACTCTAGTGACAAATTATTTAGTAATTAATTAATTAATCATTGTGGAATTTGCAACCACTCTACAATTGCAAAATTACTAAATATGATTCCATTCATATTTGAAAATTTTGAAAAGAAACTATCAACCTATGTTATCTATATCGACTTATCCCAGACCTTTGATTCGGTAATAGTCTCTTGGTATGTTTAAAAGTGTATTCACTTTTAAACATACCAAGAGACCATTTTAATATTGACCTAGCAATACATTCCTGACTGCATAATTATTTTTTTATGTAGGAAATAGAAGATCAAAATAGGTGGCTGTTCTTTCTTAGATTTTTCTCCTTTGCGTGGCAAACAACAAAGGTTGATTATAAATGGAATAATTTTTTTGCATATATTAACAATTTGTTTGACAACATAAATTCTAAAGTCGTGGCTTATGCAGACAACATAAAATTATTAAGCCACGATCCTCATGCTCTACAATTAGACTTGAATCAACTCTTCACTAAATTCAATCTTATAAAAAACATTCAAAAAACTGTTCTTACATGCTACTCCTTGTTCCACTTTCTCTTTTCCACTTAAGAGATCAGATTTTATGATATGTCAACTCTTTCAATGACCTTGGTATAATCTACAACAATAAACTAACTTTTGAAGATCATACTGATAGCATCAAAATCTTGCAATCCATTGCAGGATTCTCTGGAGTTATTTTTTAAAAAAATATTGCACAAATTCATATTATGCTCAAATTTATTATTTTTTTTTTTTTGCTAATTTTCAATCTTTAGCTGGCTGCTCCTTCACTAATCTCCAAAATTTCCCACAAACTTGATAAACTGTATTTAATATTAAATAAACTGTGTAATCTAGCACTTACTCACAGTCTCTCTGTTGCTCGTATGCACATCAGGGGCTGTATTCTGGTCACTGTCTCTGGTCTCTCGCAAGCTGGTCGCTGATTGACTAATCCAAATGATTAGCCAATCAGCAACCGGCTTGTGAGAGACAAGAGACCAGAGACAGTGACCAGAATATGGCCCCTGCTTGCCTGATCTCAAAGAATTCATAAAATGTTTTGATTGTGTTCTTTTCGGTTTAGTAAGTCCACACTGGTTTTATTTATAAGTACCCAGTTGATCCACCTGTAGTTCTTCATGTATATTCACTCCTCAATATTGTCTGATTTTATCACACAGATCAATCTGTATTACATCACTAAGAATATGAAACCTGTGGAACACTTACCATATGAAAGTTTTAGTCGCATTAAAAACAAATGTCAACATATTTTATATCAATCATGAAACTAAATTTAATATCTAGGCTAATCAGTATACATAATTCTCCTGTCTTTATTGCTTTATTATAATTATACATGTGTAACATATTGATTTTTATAATAAGTGTAAAATTTTAATTTCTTAAATTTTATTATTTTAGATTGTCTAACGTCTCCATTTTATTTTTATTGTATAACTAGAAATTACCTCACAAAGCACAACAGACTACTTTCTATGAGAAAATAGAGAGGTTGAGGCGTACGTTTTAAACGTGTAAACGTGTACGTGTGACGTTCGGCGCTGCTTTCCCGTAAGCCTAAAAGTTTGACAATGNGTGCCACAGTTTATAACTTTGTTAAATTTCTTCTGATTTTAATTTGTAAGTAAAATTTTATTATTTTTATTAATCATGAATTGCAAAAAGGCAAATGAAAAGCAACAGAAAACTAAAAAAAATGACTAGAATCACAATGGAACTGAAAAAAGAGATTTTGAGAAATATGAAGGTGACATGAGTGTTCGAGATTTTAACTGTTGCATACCATATTCCAAGAACGACGATATCGACAATCGTGAAAAATGAAGACATTATTAAATTTGCTAACGTTGTGAAAGGGGTTAAAACAATTTCTAAACAGAGATCGAAGACATTAGATGATGTTGAGAAATTGCTTTTGCTTTGGATAGCTGAAAAACAGTGTGCTAGAGGCAGCTTATCACAACCATTTAGTTGCGAGAAAGCTAAAAAGATACATGCTGATCTCATGAAAAATCAAGCAGGAACTAGCCAGGAAAGCGAGGTGTTTCAAGCCAGCCATTTTTTTTTAAACATGAGAACGGATTAATCATTTTTACATTACTTCTTATGGGAAAGGTTGGTTCGGTATAAGTCCAAACATCAGGAACGGATTAAGGTCGTATACCGAGGTTCCACTGTATATATATATATTTTTTTTGTATTTTAAAAAGGGTTGTGTGAATTATTAAAGTAACAAAATTTTTCTTCTTCTAATATATTTCTCTAACTCACTGCTAATGATACAGTTGAATGGAAAATGTCATTATGTATTATATAATAATATGAACCCAATCTAATGATATCATTTTTATATTTTGCAAAAAAAAAATTTTTTTTATTTNAGACATCAAATAGAGTATCTTTCTTACTATACTGTATATTTTACAATCATCATTTATCTTGTGGTACTTCATGGTTGTACTGTACATTACTTGTAGTTTTCATTATCTTGATTTTCTTTATTACTGACTTCCAGCTCAGAATGGAAAATAGATATTCTTATCTGACTTTGCTAAGAAATTCCATTATCAATCACTGTGAAGAAGAAACTGGCTAGCATTAAAGGATTTAAATAATGAAAAGCACTATAACTTTAACCTATGATTACAATATAACTTAAGGTATAATCTCTTATCCAAAATATGCAAATTACTTTAAAAATGTGATGGAACCAATTTCTACATGTACTGTACAATACATTTAGGTATAAACACATGCATTTAAGGCATGTGTGCCATGCCTTCTTATATCTTGGTATAAATATTTTAAAGTAATGCAAAAAAAACAAGTAATGAGTTGGCTCATAAAAAGTTACAATATGAGTAAAATGGAAGACTTCATAGAAGTATTGCGCTACGTATTCTTTAAACTACCTCAAACGAGAGAAGTTCACAGCGATGTGGTTTTCAACGATAATTATACAGAAATCATCGCTACTCGTTTTATAATACCCACTGCCAATATGAAAGGACAAATGGACGAAACAGAATTAATGATAGATTTATATAAGCTTGCTGAAGAATCACAGCTTCCAGTAAGATTTGATAGCTTCGCGTTTAGTCTTGTAGAACAATCAATACTTATAAAGGGAATAACATTACAAACAGCAATTATTAGTTCTGCTATAATTTGTGTAATTTTCTTCGGTTTTGTGCCAAATATTTGTTGCGCTTTATGCACAGCTCTAATTGTGCTTTGCATCATTTGCGAAACTGTTGGATTTGCTAGTTTTCTAGGTATTAAAATTGATATTGTCTTGCTCGGTTGTCTCATTATATGCATTGGTTTCTCCATAAATTACCCGACTCATATTTCTTTTTCATTTTTCATGGCAAAAGACACAAGTCCGAATAAGCGACTTAAGAAATGTCTTTACGACGTAGGCCTGCCAGTCTTTCAGGGATCCTTTACCACGATTTTAGGCGTTTGTATCTTGCCATTCGAGCCGTATTACTGCCCTGGAGCGTTTTTTAAAATAATCGTAATTATTGCTTTAGAGACTGCTTTTCACTCGTTGTGTGTAATTCCTGTCATTTTAAGTTTGTTAGGAAAAATTGACAAATCGCTTTCAGTAACAGTTAATCCGGAATTTGATAGCGAATTTGAACCAAAATTACAATTGAATAAAACTTAAATATTTTATTTCAGAAATCAAACAAAATCTGCTCTTCTGCAGTTAAAAAGTTGGTTAGATAACACTCCAAATATATATGTTCATGTTCCTGTTGAAGTCAGATTTGTGAAAAGTGATGATATATATATAAGTCCAGCATATGGAAGAGATACATGTTATATTAATATAATAATGTACAGGTAATACATCTTCCATTTTTAAAAATTAAAGCTTACATTAAGCAGTGTTAAATAAAAAGACAAATACAAGGGTGCCTTATACTTCAAACTAAATTCCTTCAGAAGGCCATTCAAACAATTGAAGTCCAAATCAGTTTTTCCCATTAGAAATAATGGAAAGTGAATTAATCTGTTCCTAGACCCTAAACAATACCCATGTATTTTAATTTACAAATTATATTTTACAATGTTATAAAACTGCAATAAAATTTGTTTTAAAAATGTACCTCTGTTATTTCTTATTCAACACATTGTATAAAACACACAAACACATCACATTCTTGCCTGTTTAAAAATGCCTAGAACAACTAAAAACTCAAATTAAAGATTAATAAAAATATGAATTGTTAAAAGTTCATTAAACACTTATGGAAACGAAAGGTGGAAGCATAGCTCATAAGAGTGTAACAAGAACTAAGAATGTAGTGTCGTTACACTACATTCTTAGTTTTTGTTACACTCTTATGAGCTATGCTTCCACCTTTCGTTTCCATAAGTGTTTAATGAACTTTTAACAATTCATATTTTTATTAATCTTTAATTTGAGTTTTTAGTTGTTCTAGGCATTTTTAAACAGGCAAGAATGTGATGTGTTTGTGTGTTTTATACAATGTGTTGAATAAGAAATAACAGAGGTACATTTTTAAAACAAATTTTATTGCAGTTTTATAACATTGTAAAATATAATTTGTAAATTAAAATACATGGGTATTGTTTAGGGTCTAGGAACAGATTAATTCACTTTCCATTATTTCTAATGGGAAAAACTGATTTGGACTTCAATTGTTTGAATGGCCTTCTGAAGGAATTTAGTTTGAAGTATAAGGCACCCTTGTATTTGTCTTTTTATTTAACACTGCTTAATGTAAGCTTTAATTTTTAAAAATGGAAGATGTATTACCTGTACATTATTATATTAATATAACATGTATCTCTTCCATATGCTGGACTTATATATATATCATCACTTTTCACAAATCTGACTTCAACAGGAACATGAACATATATATTTGGAGTGTTATCTAACCAACTTTTTAACTGCAGAAGAGCAGATTTTGTTTGATTTCTGAAATAAAATATTTAAGTTTTATTCATTTTATCAACTTATATTTTTATTAATTTATTCCAAATAATTTATTTAATAATTCTTTATACTCACATAGGTATAGCCCATTCATTAACATATTGTTTAAACAAACAGTCAAAATTAAATATTTTATAACTGGCATCAACTTTCCGTTTATTTTGGGAAAACACTAACCAATAAAAAATACTGTTGATTCTTGATATTAGAGGAGGATAAAATAAACTGAAATTAAAAATAACAAAATATGTAAAATTATATATCAAATACACAGAATTACAAAATTAAAAAAAAATTTTTTTTTTGCAAAATATAAAAATGATATCATTAGATTGGGTTCATATTATTATATAATACATAATGACATTTTCCATTCAACTGTATCATTAGCAGTGAGTTAGAGAAATATATTAGAAGAAGAAAAATTTTGTTACTTTAATAATTCACACAACCCTTTTTAAAATACAAAAAAAATATATATATATACAGTGGAACCTCGGTATACGACCTTAATCCGTTCCTGATGTTTGGACTTATACCGAACCAACCTTTCCCATAAGAAGTAATGTAAAAATGATTAATCCGTTCTCATGTTTAAAAAAAAATGGCTGGCTTGAAACACCTCGCTTTCCTGGCTAGTTCCTGCTTGATTTTTCATGAGATCAGCATGTATCTTTTTAGCTTTCTCGCAACTAAATGGTTGTGATAAGCTGCCTCTAGCACACTGTTTTTCAGCTATCCAAAGCAAAAGCAATTTCTCAACATCATCTAATGTCTTCGATCTCTGTTTAGAAATTGTTTTAACCCCTTTCACAACGTTAGCAAATTTAATAATGTCTTCATTTTTCACGATTGTCGATATCGTCGTTCTTGGAATATNATATAATCCCCGATCTTCAAGGACAGAGGGACTTCTTCCGTAAACTGTGCTACGGAGTACCTGCACTCCAAAAAGTCCGAAGTGAAAACTCGCTGTGTGTCGACGCACAAAAGACGAAGAGTCCGCACTAGTGTCCATCGAGAGAGCCGTGCCGCCGACGCCTCCCGACAAGTCTCCTTACCTACCGCAGCCCCAGGGCCCATCTCAGAGTGATGATAGAAAAACATCCTCGACGTTTAAAACTTACAAACATTTAATTGGTTAAGGAACTTTGTGCATAGTGTAAGTTATTTCCTGTTAAATTAAACAGATTCTTGTCCAATACTTGTCATCTGTGTCTCCTCCGCCACACCCACTTGCGTACGACCCTAGATCATTCTGACGCGGGATTAACGATTCCCCCAGGAAGTCGGCGAACTTACAAATATATTTATAAATAATATGTAGCCCAAAATGTAGCCAATGTGCCAAATGATATTTTTTACGCCAAACTAAAAACAGGGTAGCCAAATTTGGCACAAAGTTGCCAAATCTTGCAACGCTGAAAGGAATTTAAAATAAAGCTAGAGTTGGTATTCAAAGGATTATAGACCTAAATTCAGGGAAAGGAGAGAAAGGTCAAAAAATAAAGAAGTGAGAAGGTTAAATAGACCTTCTGTTATGCAAATATTGATCCTTAATTTTCCAACCTTTCTCAATTCTTTTTATTTTTTTGCCTTTTTCTTCTTTCCTTGAATTTAGGGCTATAATCCTTTGAGTCACGATTTCAGCTTTATTTAGTATTCCTTCCTCATTCACACAATTCAAGTATTTGAAAATATTTCTTTTCTATTAAAAAATATAATGTGTATAAAGGTTTACAGCTTTATGAAACTTCTTTTTTGAGGTGTATTCCATTGAAATAAATAAATTAATAATAAAATTTGTCGGTTTTGTTTACATGTTTATTGGGCCGCATGCGGGCCGCGGGTTGGACACCCCTGCTTTAGACATTAGCTGGCATTGCTAAGTATATAAAAGGAAGGAAACCTGGAGTAACCTGATGAAGAGCCCAGAAGGGGTTCGAAAAACGTTTCTTTTTGTACTTTTTAGTCGATCGTACCACACCATAAATTGGTTCAGTGTAGGTGATTGTTATATAGGTGTGGTGAGTAGTTAATTTTTAGAACAATATTTTTTATTATGGCAATTATTACATTATTCAAATTCTGACTGCTTTTTGGCTGCTATCCAATGCATTAAATAAATAATAATGTAATTATTAAAACTTTTTCTACATAAATTTTATTAATATTTATAATTTAAGATACTGTGAAACTAACCTATATTTGATTTCCAGCAAATAACTTTAATGCTCTAATAATGTTGGTGTCATAAAAACACTTTATCCCATTACAAGATGAATGGTTTAACACTCGATTATCATATATAGGATCTACAATCAGTTCCTGCAAGCCAAAATACTCAACCACAAATATGACATGACCAAGGAAAATTTCAACACAGTGCTTGCACATTTTGCCACTGAACCTGAGGTTCCCCATGCTGGACTTTTACACATGGTCTTTGACTGACACAACTTATGATCCTTGGAAACTTTAGAAATCTATATGGCTGAGAAGAAAGGAGGTTGTGTTAACTCGGATGCCATTACAATACTGCAAGCTCAAAAATATTTTATAGGTTTGCACAGAATTTAATTTTTTAAATTTTTATATCATGCCTTGTAAAGAATTGAATTATTGAAAGCATTTCATTTATTTTTTTAAACTGTGCACCAGGACACATATTGAACATCTTTTTGAATATTTGGAATTTCTGTTATAAATGTAATGGTATTCTCTGTCAAATGATAGGACTGTTTTTTTGTATTTTTTGTTTTATTTCCTGATGAGGGCCTCTTAATTTAAATTAATTAATTAATTGTGGCCAAGAACATTAAGAGCATTAAAGTTATTTGCTGGAAATCAAATACAGGTATTAGTTTCACCGTTGTACTGTTTCAGTTATTACGTGTGCTGTTTAATGTAAGATACAGTAATTAGAATATGTTGCATTACATTTCTTATAGTCTGTATTTCTGATTACTGAAATTTCTGGAAATTAGAAAAAAATCAAATTCTTCTTTTTAAATTTCTATGTACTGTACAAGAGTGGGTTAATTTCAGTCCAGCATTTCAGTAATGATAATAGAACTGTGTATGTTATATAGTCCCAATTTATGCATTTTTATTTTTTGATAATTTCTGACATCATTTAGAACAACTTTAAAAATTATTCATAATTGAAGTTTTCGACTATTTACAAAAATATCAAATTTTCGAGTCTATCTTAATCCTTTTTTTATACAACACCAGAAGTAACAGTTAACAGGGTTTTTTGTTGAAGAATAACTTCTTAAAAAACAAAGGTAAACAAGTAAAGAGAGCGATCACAATGTTAAAAACGATCAAGTGTCAGCCTTCTGTTGTAGGTTCTGACACTTTACATTAAAAACATGAAGAATTCTTCTCACCATACTGTCCTTATCCATTCTTTAACTGCTTCAGGCCCTCTGGTGATAATTTCGAGTTATCCTACTTATTTGCATATTCATACAATTTCTGTAATAACTCAGGATATAATTCTTCATAATTGAAGTTTTCGATTATTTACAAAAATNACAATTAGCATATTTTTTTTTGCAGTTTGGAGCAAATTATGTAAAATTAAATAAATTTTTTCTGTTAAAAATTTATTGAATGTCTTCTGTCTTCTCTCTACACTAAATACAAAATTGTTGTATTTTTAGTTTTACAGAAGACAAAAGTTAATGTCTTGAAAATTTTTTTAATATAGTTTTATATGGAAAGGATGCAATAGTTTATTTTTATAGAAATATTTATTAGGCAGCAAATTGAAAAATTGTAGACCTATAAATTCCTACTGTTGTCCATCCGTCTATCTTTCCTTACTCTCAAGAGTGGAGTTAGGTAGATGAAAGACAAGACCAGAAATGGAAACCTTAAGGGCAGGAGGTCCTGATTAACTATATACAGGCTAGAAGTTATGTTATTTTAATTGAAAAATTTTTCCCCAAAACATGTTAGATAGATGACTGGCCCCACTTTCTAACTTTTTCTTTTTTTATAAATTTTATGCTCAAGCAGTTAATCTTGGTTCATTCATTCAGACTTTTAACTAAATGAGGATAAATTACTAATGCTCTATGTGTGTAGCACTTACAACCTTATAATCTACAAAACTTGGCATCATGATTATCAAATAGATACTTTAAAAATGGCTTCTTAAGGAAAGCAAATTTTTCTATTTGCTGAAAAACGTTTTGGTTTCTTTCAAGTCATTCCTGTTTCAAAAAACTAACTTCTCAGAGTTTATTACGGAATAATGGATAAAATTTGAATTCCATATAGAACTTTTCTAGGAGTCCATTATAGAATAAAGCATTTAAATTATTTTCTAAAATATTTTTAAATATGACATAAAATTTTAAAAAGTATTCTTAAATTTAAAATAACATAAACCAAATAAAAACATACACAAATACAAAACATATTAACATCAAATAGTAACTGTAGACCACTAATGCCCCTAGAGTTGTTTTTCATTGTTTCTTTCATTTCTTCTTTGATTCTGTTAACGAGTTTAAAAAGTTTACTAATTTGTATGACTGAAAAATATCATTATTAATATTATTGACTATTTACAGGCCTTATAGTAGATCAGTATTATACGAAGAATATTGGGAAGCTTACGAAACAATTATGGGAAGTGTTGGGGGACGACCTCATTGGGCAAAAGTGAGTAATTATGTGAAGTCCTTTCTTGAATCATTTCACATAACATTGTAAACAGCATTTACCTATGTTGAGTACATTAGAATGTCAGATAATCATAAATCATATATGTCAAATAATTATAAAGTCAAAGCCAACACATAGATCACGGTCAACCGCAAAGGTTTTGAAATTAGCCCGCGAAGCTAAAGTTGAACAATTTGTTTTCACTTAAACTAATGTTTAAAAATCTTAATTCAATAATTTATTCTTACAATAATAGACTGTCTGTGCAACGTACCCATACTGTTTGTATTTATCCCGATGAACAATGCAAATGAATGTTAACGCATGCGCATATAAAAATTCTAAAATTGTTTGCCCATATTCATAGTCACCCGCAGACTATATTTTACCAAAAAAGTAGCCCCTAAGGGATAAAAGTTTGGCCACACCTGATCTAGAGACTATGATATTATATCTATTATTACATATTTTAAAGGAATAAAATTCCATAGTTTTATGAACGTACTTTATGAATAAACTTTTAAAATGTGATAATTAAAAATTATTTTATTCGATTTAGAATTCAGTTGATTTATAACTTCAAAAATTTTTCAATTGCTCTGTGTAATGTATTTCAGTATAATTATAGTTGTATATATTTGAGTTAGATTTATTTGGTTGTTTGGAAAGTAAGTTCATTTTTTCCATGGAAAAAAAAAAAATATTTTTATAATAAATAAATATTTTATTGAATTATATATCAACCATTTGGTCAAATACCTGTTGTCATCATTTCTGGTAGTAGCATGATTTCACATTCATAAAAGTTTTGATCGTTGCTTACAAAAAACTGATCCAAGTGATTTTTGACATTGTCATTTCAAGTAAATTTGTATAGACTGGAACAAGTAATAATCTGAGTGTGCTGGATCTGGTGAATATGGTCTGTGTGATAGCATGTCCCATCTAAGTTATAACAGTTTCTGAAGAGTTACCAAACTTGTGTGAAATTTGACATCATCACGTTAAAACACTACACCTGTTTTGTTGATCAATTCTGATTGCCTTTTCTGTTTGATGATATTACTCAATTTGTTTACTCGATGGCAGTACACTTTCAAATTAATTGTTAAATTGTCTAGTAAAAGCGCCAAAAAAAATTTTCTTAAAATTCCACTAAAGAGAGCATCTTTCTTTAAGAGCATGTGGAACCTATATATCGAGCTTTGAAATGAAACCAATTTGTTTCAAGTAATCATAAATGGTTCAATTTGACAAAATTAATCTTAGTGATTTCCTGTGTTGTTATTCAGCAGTTTGCTTCAATCACTACCTTTATTTTGCTTTCATTGGCTTCAACTGGCCATCCAGAATGTGGTGCATCTTCAATTTTGAAATTGCCAGAACGAAATTTTGTAAACCAGTTTTGGCACTGTCTTTCTCTCAACATATCTTCTCCATACACGTCGCACAATTTTTTTTTCACTTGAACAGCATTCTTACCTTTTTGGTAATAAAAGAGCCAAATATGCTGAAAATGCTGCTTCTGATCTTCCATATTTGATGGGACACAAAAAATAAACAATTGCACGAAATCAAACAAAATTTTTTACAAATAAGCCTTAAAGTGCTAGCTGTCAAAATATATAATGATAATATGGTTTAGAATGAAAATGGCGGGGAAAATACAACTAATCCGTCTAGTGGAGTGTTTCTCAACGTGGGTGATATCGCCCCCATGTGGGCGTTTTTCCATGTTGAGGGGGCGATTAGTAACAATTTATATTTTGGGGGCCAAAAAACAATTTTCTGGACGATATAGTAAAACTTTATAGTAAGAATAATTGGATATTTTATTCGTTATATCGTATAATAATTAAACAAATAACATTATACTAGTCACTAGTCTATTCAATGCAGTACAAATTTGGCGTTAACCTTGGCCCTCGGCATCGGAATTTTGAAGTGAAGGGGGCGACTATTCGTTAGAGGTTGAGAAACATTGGTCTAGTGGTAAAAAAAATGAACTTACTTTCCGAACAACCTAATATTATAATAATCTATTACAATTAGCATATTTTTTTTTGCAGTTTGGAGCAAATTATGTAAAATTAAATAAATTTTTTCTGTTAAAAATTTATTGAATGTCTTCTGTCTTCTCTCTACACTAAATACAAAATTGTTGTATTTTTAGTTTTACAGAAGACAAAAGTTAATGTCTTGAAAATTTTTTTAATATAGTTTTATATGGAAAGGATGCAATAGTTTATTTTTATAGAAATATTTATTAGGCAGCAAATTGAAAAATTGTAGACCTATAAATTCCTACTGTTGTCCATCCGTCTATCTTTCCTTACTCTCAAGAGTGGAGTTAGGTAGATGAAAGACAAGACCAGAAATGGAAACCTTAAGGGCAGGAGGTCCTGATTAACTATATACAGGCTAGAAGTTATGTTATTTTAATTGAAAAATTTTTCCCCAAAACATGTTAGATAGATGACTGGCCCCACTCTATTGTTAAAGGAAAAGTATGACATACAGGGCAAGCCACTATTAATTTGAGGTAGAGAGCATATATTTTAAATTAAATAAATTAAAAACTGCAGCCCAGCATTGTGATATCACAATAAATAATTACTTGTTTCTTTTTTTAGGATTTTTTTTCACTAAAATAATTAAAGGCTAATTTATTATCTGTTTAAATTTTGTTATATAAGTTTAATATCTTATATTAGATTTTGTTTATGAAAACATATTAGAATTAACAAAAATTTGAATTTTATTTCACAGGCTCACAAAGTAACCGCTCCAGAATTCGTAAAAATGTATCCATGCTTCAACACGTGGTGTAGCATCAGAGAAAAATTAGACCCCACAAATATGTTTGTTAATCCTTATCTCAAAAGGATTTTTACATTTTAAAATTGCTAATAATAGTGCATTTATCCAATACTTTTAGTTTTTATTTATGACATGTAAATAATCAACAGAATCATGTGTTGTAGATGAGCTAAATAATTTTACACAGATAGACGTGATATAGGATTTCGAATTTTTTTAGAAAGAAACTTTATTACGAATTTATAAACAAAAATATACAGTTTATTCTTGGCAATATATCTTAAATTATTATTTCAAAAATCTGATTTTAGTGATTATTCTGTGCTTTTGTTTATACAAATTAATCATTTATAGTTTGTGATATGCAGGATGTCTGAAAAGAAGTGATGGATTACAAAAGGTATTAGCATTCAGGAAAATAGACCCAACATACAATTTTCAGTAACCATTAGTGAAACTTCAAAAGTTTGTTCTGCATTACAAAAACAGAGGGTGTACTTTGCTAAAAGTAGAACTTTTGAGTGAAACTTTTTTTAACTGATGGATGGAGTAAGAGAGACCAGCTCAGTCACCACATTGCTCCCCTGACATAATTTAGACTTTTTCTTGTTGGGTTATGCAAAGAATCTGGTTTATCAAACACCTGTTACAGATATTGAAATATTAAAAGGTTGCATAATAAATGCAGTTGGAACTTACTCAAGGTATATTATGCCTGGGCGGAGATTGTCTGCATAATGTGAGAATAAGAACATAGAAAATATTGAGATTTTTTAAAGTTGAGAAATTTTTGTGTTGTTCACTAATTAGAGCAAACTATGTGATTGTATCTATTTTCGTAAAATAAATGAGTTTCTGTAATCTGTTAGTTCTTTGTTGGACATCCTGTGTTAGTAACATACAAATACAACCATTTTTTCACTATAAATTTTTGCATTATGTCTATACAAAACTGATAGTTCATCAGCTGAAAGATACCTGTTATTGCTCATTTATATCTGTGCAATAAAGTTTATTTTTCTTTTAAGCTTCAAAGGAAATGATCCATTACAACGAATTACATTTTTTTAATGGATCATTTCCTCTCACCAAATACTATTTCAAAAACAATCATAGCAAGTTTAACAGTTAGCTGTTAAATTTTTTTAATAACTTCAACATTTTTTTTTTTATATTTTGGAATTACCTTGAGAATTACTTTTTTAATTTGGGAAAAAAATATTGAAACTTTTTATAAATGAATGAATATATTAAAGTCTAAATACAAACAGAATAGCGCATATTTTTTAGAAGCACTAGTTTAATTTAAACAATTGTTTATAATAATGAATATATTAAAGTCTAAATACAAACAGAATAGCGCATATTTTTTAGAAGCACTAGTTTAATTTAAACAATTTATAGAAATAAATGATTTATCAAATAACTAAAATTTAGAAATTATCGTGTTCCGTGTTAATTTCTAACGATAAGAATGGAAATTACCATGTTTCATGAAAAATCTTGGGTCTCAGAATTAATAACTTTACGTTAATTTTTATTGAATAAATTAAAAGGATTTTTATGTTCCACGAGTAATCTTAATTGAATGAAATTTCTAAGCTATTTATTTACTATTCAAATCGTTTCTTTGAAAATTTAGTTTTGTTTTTGCTTCATTTAAACTGAAAAAAAAACATTTCTTTTAATTACTTTTTTCGTACTGTCTGATACATTTAATTTCTATCACAGTAATCGCTTCTCGAGAGTTAAACAGAGCAGTAAAAAATTGTTTTTAGAGCATAATTGTGGCCGAGAAAAGTGAACATAACTTATATTTTTTACAAACTTTTAGAAAAATATTCTGTTAATATATTATTTCTCACGATAAAGTTTACTCCTGACACACTTCAAATTGCAATTAGCTGGAGGAAGCGTTTATGGTTAACATAGATACAAATCTATGATTTTAAAATCTATAATTACGATTAAATATGTATATTTGAAAATATCCATTATAGTTTATTAACAAATGACATAATTATCCATGCTGTTTGCTGTAAGATTTCGTATCTTACAAATTAGTATTTAAAGAAAATGCTCTCTCTAATTAAGGTCCACTTAAAGTTTCTTGATTTATTATTTGTACTTAGCGCAGCTGTAATTCCGAACTACTTAATGTTATATCTTAATCATCTGTACTTAATTTAAAAAATTAAGTTTTTAAAGTTATTAAATTAAAGAGAATATATATATATTCTTCAATTGCACTTTATTAAAAGCAATTATTCTTAATAATAATACCTATTTTATTATTTTAGAAAAAGTTGTACACAATCGCAAGTTTTATTTCCTTGGTTATTCATTATTTATTATTAATTTGCACGTAAATACGTAAATTAGACACCTGTATAGTACAGTAATGTATATAAAACTTATTCATACGTCAATGCTGGCTAAAAAAATTCTTCTAAACTTCTGAGGCTTCTTCAGATGTCCATTCAGCTCATTTTTAATGTACTGGAGCCATATTTCATACTAAAATTAAAGCAATTCAACTTCAGATTAATAGTATTTACAGAAAATTATGTTTCTAATAAGACCAAATCGCTTTAATTGGATGGTGTTAAATACTGTACTGTACATACATCCTATAATGTTACAAAAAACTTACTAATCGTGTAACTCTATTAGCAATGACTTATAGCACATAATATTTTGTCTTAACCATAAGAAGAAAAACGTTCTTTAACACACCTATTATATTCCTAATATTTTAATTTAATTAGTGTAGATATAATGGTGATATTCACGACTGTTAATTTTTATAAACAAGTAAAATTTCTACCTTCAAAAAATTTCGGGGAATTTCAACACGCTACTTTATCAGTAACAGAGAAGATAAAGTATAGCCTACTGTAAATTACATGTGCAGACGATTGCTTTATTTCTCAGTTAAGAGTAGCAGTTCCATCTTTAAGCTGCACTAAGCCGAAACGTAACTGTAAATAAGTATTATAAGGAATCGGAATTAATAAAAACAACTTTAATGTCTTTATTAAGTCTGATGTAAATACAAATATATTAGACTTAGGAGTCAATTACACATCATTTAACATTTCCTTTTGTAAATTATAATTGAATAAATAGAATAAAAATTGGTTGTTGGATCGGAACATTTTAAAATAACAATAGTTATTATTGGATTTCTATTTATGCTGTGTGTGCTTCTTTATCGAAATTAAAGTTGAAACAAACTTTAATTATTTTCCGTAATTTCGGACTAAATTTATTCTCAATATTTATTTCTTTCACTTTAATTTATGGGCATGTATGTTTTCAGTCTAACAATTTTAATTAAATCACTTTTCTATAAACTGATTAAATGGAGAAAAAAATATTGGGTAGTTTAATCTATTCATATATTTTTTTAAAAGTAAAATCTATTTTAATTGAAATATGAAANAATAAAAACCGTCTGTTCTCCGTATAAAAATACCAGTTTAATGGCACCTTTTAGATCTTTTATACTGAAATTTTATTCTTCAATATCTGAGTATCCAACACAAATACATTTTTAAAGAACACAAGTCTGCATATGCAGGAAACAACAAACACAATTTATACGTCTTCCACCATTTTTAGTAGCAATAAATATATTTAGAATTAGATAACATTTGTGTTATTCTGAAAATTAAATTTATGTACACAATGTATAATGTAGATACATATTTTTTTATATTAAGAATATTGCATAATCTGTTTTTGAATAGAAATTAAAAAAAAAAAAAAAGATTATTATAAATGTTTGTGAATTATATCCTTTCCATTATTGTAAACTATTAAAAAGTATATAGCAGTACACTGCTTCTATGGGAACAATTGCTGAAAAATTATGTAATATTTAATTTCATAATAGTCATATTAGCAGTATACATTGTATAAGTACAAAATTTTATATAGGACTTTATGGAGAAGAAAAATGAAGCTATTGTACTTTAGCTCAAGTTTTTAAAGTTTGCTCAGATTGAATTTTATGTAAAGATTATATTAATATAATACAGGATAAACAATATTACTAATTAGGGTGTAATATTTTGTTAATAGATCATTATTAAATAACCAATGATGTGAAATCTAAGTCCAGAAAGTGTTCTCACTTTGCAGTTAGAGTAGGAAGTGGACAAACTGCATTTCCTGGATTATTATTAAATATTTAATGATGTATTTATGAACAAATTGTGTTTAAATTTGTTGGCTAAAATAATAAAAATTTAAAGTTTTCTTTGTTAATTGTTTTATGGGGAAGGGAATGTGACACATGGAACTAAAGACTCTGAGAGATTAGTCCCTATTTTGATGTTATGCACGTGAAGAAAACCTGAAAAACTCCACCAGCACTCTAGAGAGTCGCGAACTGGCTCGTAAATACGAGAAATACCCGAGGAAAACCCCTAAATTTCCGCGTGATTAGCTTGTTGGTGAGATGCGAACTCGTGACAATACCAATGAGTAAACATTTCTTCCAATAGTGAGACTAGTGATCTTTTTCATGTCTTAAATATTCCCAATAAACAAAGATTAAAACAATTCACTTTATTTAACAATTGTTAAATAGACCAAGTGAATTGCTACGGAGAAAGATTACTAGTCTCACGTAGAAAGAAGCCTTTACTCATAGTTATATCCGTTCCATTTTATTAAACAGTTTACGAAAAATGTTCGATGGTTTCATTCACTCTCACTGGTGAGGCTTTTCTAATGAATAAAAACAAATATAGGTTTTACACAAGTATTTTTATTGAAAATGAATCCACCTTATTGTATTACGTATGCATCTTTTTTATTACCGTTGTATTGTTTATGTATATTGACCCATCCCTGTCATATTTTTTCTTCGAATTTCCTCGTTCTAGTTCATTCTCATCACGTTTCGTACGGTTAAATTTTTTTTTATTTTGTAAATTGCGTCGGTTTATAATTGTTACAAACTGTAAATAAGTGGGGCACATTTTTATTTGAATTTAGCCCCTTTTAAGAATGTTAATTTTGTAAAAATGATTAAAAGTAATATTCATTAGCTACTCGACGGGAATTTAGTACGTTTCCAATTAGTTTTCTACTATTACGGAAGATGGTTCCGGGCGCTATTTTGCATACGATAAGATAATGCGCAATTAGACGGAACGAATGGTGAATTATTTTCTTTTTTGGCCATTAAGAAGCGAATTTTTAACACCCGATACGAAGATTAGGGTCATAGGAGTGACGATTGGATGAGATAACAGAGATGAGATGTGTGCGGCCGGAGATCCGGTATAGTAATCGTAAAAAAAGCAGTAATTTATACGTCTGTGTGTGCCAGATATCTCTTAGGAACGGAAACCATAGAGAGAAAAATACGCTTCCGTCAACCTACTTTGTGGCTCCACGCAAAGAAACTTTCACCAAATTTTGCGTGTTGATTAAAAATAGTATATACTGTATTTTTTTTTTTTTTCTTTTGCCACTTCTCTATGACGCTGGACGCTTCCACACGGAACCTCTCTGACATATTTGGGGCTGTGTATTAGAGGTTATCTTTGATGGCCCGCACGCACTTCGGCGAAAATTGTTTTTAGAGAATGCCCGTTGGCATCCCTATCGAAATTCATTTCTGGAATCGCATCACGTGACTGGCATACAAAAAAGTCGTCCCGTTAAGTAATTCTCCCCCCTTTATGTAACGTGCCGTGCTGGATCCTTTAGTGCGCGATTTTAATTAAATAGAATTCCTTTTTCAAATATTGTGTGAAAGTTGCGTAAGGATTGGCTCTGAAAATAAATTCTTAAGACGAGCCGAAGTTTTGGTTAGGAATTTTTGGCACAGTAGCCAAAGGATTGTGCTGTGTCGAACCTAAATCATTGCCAAAAACTCCCAACCAAATTCAACATAGAACAAAAACTAGAAAGTCTACGGTGTTCCAATACAAAATTGTGGGTTGTGTGTAGCTTATCCCATAGTTTCAGGCTATTTTGGCGTACAGAAATCGTTCAAAATTTTAGATTTTTTTCGGTTTTCAAATGAAAACTTAGTAGAATCTCTAGAAACTTTATACCAGTTTCTCTCGAAATTAGATTCAAAACAATCTAAACTTTAAAAATTTAGTTTAAAAAAAATGAATTGATTTACATTGGCAATCATTTTCAAAGCTTAAATCTAGAATTTTCGGAAGTTTTTTTCTAGAACCAACTCAAGAAAAATCGAGTTTAGGGAAGTCAATTTAGATGGTAATCCCTGCCAGAAAATGCACGCTTCAGCATGTTCAGTTAATGATTACGACGATAATAAGCGTTAACATAATTACGTTAATCGATATCATCAGCATTATCAATACAACAGATTGATTACGATATTAGATAATAAACAAATGGGCGGGCCATCAGTTAGGGCAGTGCCTTCCTGTGATGAACAAAAAGAGGAGGCGGGATCCAATGGAACGACATACGAGCCACATCTCCATCCTCTTCACTCGTTTATACGAAATCCTATGGTCCGTGTCGACCGCAACACCTGATAAGCGGTGAAAAAACAACGTTAAAAAAATTATAAAAATATGTGCCATCCACTTAATGCTTCTTGATGCAAACCCTTCACAGCCAGGATTTATTGAACAAAGTGGATTATACATAAATAATTTGTAGTATAACAACAGTTGTGAAGACACAGGTGAGTTGCGAGATACAAACTTCAGTGCATATTTTTAATATATATATTTTTAGTGTGATTAACTAAACTTAATTTTTATTATATCGTTTACAAATTCTGTACCCGAATTTGGGTTAAGTTTAACTCGTAACGGATTTCGTTAATGATATGCATTATTCGTTACAGGGTGTTTACTCTGTCCTTGCGGAATGCGGATAACGTTACGGGCATTTCTTCCTGTTACTGCGATTGAAATTTGTTAAATAATATTTGCATATCGTTGTATACGCGTACACATCACTAAATTTTGTACAATTTATGCGATTTTTTAAAATTAAAAGCCGATAAACTTCTGTAGTAAAACCATCTGGAGTTGAAGAGGTGTTTCGTGCTCCTATCATTTTAATTTTTCCATCTTTTCCAGCTGAAATTATAATTAATATAAAACAGTATATTTTGAGAATGTTTTATTAATTTTCAATTTTTCTATATTTTATGCAATAAATCATTAAAATGAATGCAGATTTAACACGACACTGACGTGTAATTTAATACTAGATTATGAAAGATGTGTTACAATCGATGTAGTTTGGTGAAAAGTACATGGTAATTGCGTACACACAAAAGTTAGCCGATTATGAAACATCTTTCGTGTTTATTCCATTGTATAAAATTATACTAGAAGCGTTACATAAAGCACACAAAAAAGTGAATTTCCTTTAGAAGAACCCCTCAACTTTTAAGTTAATTTACACAATTTAAATATTACTTTCTTTTCACTCATTTTTTTTAAAATTAATTATTGTATCGAGAGTTTTAACTTAGTTCTCAGCAATAATATACAAATTAATTCTCTATTTTTTCTTCTGTACAGTTCTTTACTACGGTTTCTTTAAAATTCGTAAAATTTTCTTTAATTAATGTCTTAACATTATATATATATGTAAGATTATTTCGTATGTTATATATGCTTTTGTTTAAGTCTACTTCATCGTGTATGATGGATTAAACTTTAATTTAATAATACATAAGCCTATATGTATTATATATAATATGCTATACAGTAATATATGTATGTAATAATAATAAGAAGCCTTTCTACATGAAGTTTAGTAGACTTTTTTTTAATTTGTAGACCAGGTCTGTAAAGTTTGGCCACACAATTTACATACGCTTTGTATATACCCAAATAACTGAATTAAATTTTATTAGACCATTCAATCTTTATAATTAACTGAAATATTTATAAAATGGCGTCAACTTTAGTAAATAACAACACAAAAAAAACAGGAGACATTCCATGCTAAAAGTAAGTATAAAACACCACAAATTAGATACAAATATTCAAAATTTTTACTCGCAAGACCATTGAATTGAATTGTTACAAAGTGAAGCTGATCCATGCCAAATAATGTAACATTTCTAAATCGATTCTGGTCAAAAAACACCGTCCTTTATTGTTTCGGATCGGTATCTGGTTAATTGTATAAAGGTCGCCGGTCCAATTTCCACGTAACAGTAAAAATATGCAGGCAGGATGCAGAGAAAAAAATAGTGTATCGTCGACCTAACGGATCGAACGACTATTCCTTTTATTTGGCTGACCCCAATGCCTTTGTGACCCGTACAGTAACTGATAAAAATAACATCCAGGCTGTTTTGAAGGTTAATTAATTTCGTTTCGTAACAATTATCGAAAGTTCGTCTATGCGTAACTTTTTTTTTTTTTAATAAATAATGGAAGTGGGTGCACATTTGATACCCGTTATCTCTTGTTACTCTTCATTTTACCACATATAGGTAAGGTTCGATTTTTATGTTTCTATCGCGTTGCTATAAATAAGTTATATATATATTTCTAAACGGAGATTTACACCATAAAAGTAAAGAAAAATTCCTGTTTATTTTGCTCTTATTCTCTGTATTATGATGTAAAGCGTATAAACGTGTAGTGTTTACTCTTTTAAATATGTTTATTCCTTGAATAGTTGTAAGGTTCTTGTCTCTAAAACGTTAATTATTATCTCAATAGCCAGTTGGTAGAGATGTGAGGTTTTTCAAACTGCAATGGAGTTAAATAATCGAGATTATAATGAAGAAAGGCTTTTTAATGGTGGAATCCATTTCGTTCCTCAATGGACCGTCTTCAGCCACAACTATATGAATATAGATACCTGTAATATTACCTCCATTCACATTGTTGTGGCTGTAAGAAAAATGGTATAAAAAAGGAGCCTAAAGAAAGTGTTAACCAATAACTGTAATTATTCTTATAAGGATCCGGGTTCGATCCAATCCAGATTCCTATAATTTATCTTGGCTATTATGGGTGGACATGACGTTTCCTATTTTCATACATTACTTTACGTTGCAGTTTCCTATTTCGTGCGTTGTTGGATGACCATAACGTAACCAGGGCGCTCTTATCTTTGTAAATAAATTACTCAATTAGAAAAGAAATAAATGAGTACAGGGAAAAGAATTTAATATGATAAACACGTGAATATATAATGTCTAAGAGTAAGTCTTAATCTCAACGCTAGTGGATACGTCCAGAGTGGTACAGTAGGTTTGCACGTTTGCTTTAGACCTCCCTAATATCGGTTCTAACTATGCGGGTCAGGACCACCCATAATAGACATAATTGTGATCTGTCATACGACTAATCAATGTAAAAATTCCATCCATTATTGCATATTGCAATTCACCCGTAAGTGAAACTGTCACATAGAAAAATGAACCAATGTCCGCTTTAAACGTTTCTAATTGTTCTTCATTAATGGAAACTTTTCGGGCGCTCTCATGAAAAGAAATTAACGCAATTCAGTTGTTTGCTTAATAAACATTATGTTGAGTATTTAATTAGCACATTAACTAGTTCAAAATTATTTTAAAATTACTTTTTTTCCTAGTATTTACGACTATACAAGCGAAGTTTACGTAATATCCCACCACGCTCGGCCATGACGTAAGGAATGTTCGACAAATTGAACACGATATGTTCGTTCTTAAACAATTCGGTTCAACAACCCAATACCGAACGGAAATCAAGAACAAACTAAGGAAATTACGTCAATGGGAATTATTTGTAACTGAAGTTTCGTGCACAGGAGAGTCCATTTTCTATGTACAATCAGTGAAACCATGAAGATCTCGCTACAGCGAGATGTTTCATACAATTATTCTGATCCTTAAAGTTATCCGCTACGCTTTGTAGTGTTAAAATTTCAAATTACGGTTGAAATACCATTGCTAAATTACAGTAACAATTTAGCCCACTATAACGACTATTCTGGGTGACTATTATCTAAAATCGCTGTGTAAATACACTTTAATGGAATTTTATAGCATTTTTGAGGTTAATTACGTTTCTATTTTGTTAAAATTGGACATTTTCTCCCCATTTTTTTACATTATAGGGTGAGAATATCCGAAATATTGTGTTCTCCTTGGTAGAAGTCATTTACCCCTTGTATGGAAATTATGGGTGTGTACGGTTTGTATATATGTGTGTCACGCAATTGACAAAATAAATACATCATCGCATCACGTTATTGCTCTCACGTGAAGAGCCATTCACCCCGTTACGAAACGTTGATCATCTTGAAGATGAAAGATGATTAACACTTGATTTATTTTAATTAACATTAATTATTTTACAGGGAAATGAAGCTGGACGTTCATCTCTTTCTACTTATAATCAAAATTTTGTTTCGAAAAGTTTTAACTCAAAGTAAGTATATTTACGGGTTGGAGGTATTGCTATTTATAAATTATGTTAATAATTTGCCCTTTGCAGCACCTGAGCAGCAGCAACAGCAAAACTGTTTCGGAGGTATAGGATCTTACGATAAAGTTACCGGAAGAAAATTTGGATCCGGAGTTACGTCTTCTGTGTTGACTGAGCAGAGAAATCAGGCATTAACTAGAGAATGCCTGAACCTATGCAAGCAGCAAAGCTCCTGCCGATCCTTCTCTTTAGACTATAAAGAATTCAGGTGCAATTCGTATGAAGTAGATTCGGTCGGTAGGAAGGAGTTGTTTGAAGTCGTTTCCGGTGTTAATTACTTCGAAAAAACATGCTTTCGAGGCAGTAAGTACAGTACCTTCAATTAACTCCTAGTGATAAGTATGGCAGAAGAAGTTTTAAATTTTTAAAAATTTTTCCAGTACCAAAAGCCACTTTCGATACCCTTTGTGGTTCTCGCATGTGGACTTTCGATCGAGTGCCAGACGCATTTTTAGATGGTTACGTAGAGAAGGACGTGACTAATATCCAAACGAAAGAAGAATGCCAAAAGTTGTGCCTTTTGGAGGAATCATTTACCTGTAGGTCGTGTGACCATGACGAAGTGCAGAAGATCTGCAGACTAAGCAAAGAAGACAGGAGAACTCAACCTCAAGCTTTTAGAGAAGTGCCAGGAAGTGGAAGGGATTACTTAGAGAATCAATGTGCCGCTTCAGGTATGTGAATTCCTGAAAATCACACAAGAAAAAGAAAATTAAGTATATTTGTATGAGATGAATCTAAATTTCGGGGTCCTGGAATGAAAAAAACTTAAATTTTATACATGAAGATAACTTTAATAATTTCAAAATCTAAATTCGAGCGTTGCTTTAAACTAAATTACCTCAAACAATTACAGGAAATCTACACACTAGTTTGAGTTTGAAAGCCACATGATACAATGCAGGTTTCCTAAGGTTTTCTACTTAACATTTACGAAGAAGAGTTGTTCTTCGATTCTTTCCGTCCTGTGGGCAATAAGAGGGACTATTGGGAGAACTAAGAACCCGTAGATTCGGTTCTCACCACCTGGCTAGGCCCACAATGTAGGCAGCCAGGTGGTGAGGGACGGAGCTTGACATATCCGAGTCAGACCTCCCATGAAAAATTCTTGACGATGCTCTCCCGCATTTTGATCCTAGGCTCTCCAGAGTGGTGGGCTGCTCCTTAACTTGTCTTTGCCATCCCGCCGTCAGGATTCATGTACAGTAGAATTGTCATGACAATTCATGTAGACAACAAATTCATTGTGATCTTTAAATTTATCTCTAGAAAATGTATGCACTGTACATTTTAGAATTCTTTCAAGAAAGTACACACTTCTCCATTTTATTTTTGCTATTACAAGAAAGTTTTTAAAAATTTTACACATATCTCAAGTAAATAAGATTTATTTAAATACATTTATCACTATTAAAGCTATAGGATTATAACTCTGCAGCTCCGAATTCTCTATCCCTATATCCTGCCTTTTATATCCTAACTTCCTCTCTTCCTAAACCATTTCCTGCGAAACAAAAGCTCATCTCTCTAACTGAATACGAACAATAAACATTAACCTTATTAATATTATCGGATATATTTGATAACAATTCAAAAATACATTATTCCATTCTTTTACATAATTCGAAAATTTGCAGCATCGAAGCTTTGATCAGTTCCAACAATTTCCATTCGAAATTATTAAAATTTCCTGTTTGAAATAAAAAAAAAACGAAATTGAAATGCTAATTAGCAAATTAATGCTAATTATTTGTAAAGTGGAATTGCCATGTGTTACTTTACATTTATATTAACCTATTAATATGCCTTTAAATACGCGATTAAAACTTAAATTTTGCTCTTTATATCTACTGTTAGGGCTGAATTTACAGCTTAAGTGCCTCGCGATTTTAAATTTATTATTATTTATTGAAGGTCCTTTTATATCTTGAAGCTTAGTCTTGCAGCTAGTCTAAATTTACTCTTAAAATAGTTTCGTTTAGCATGCCAATGCTGTAGTTTTTGTTATTGGAGACTACACTAATGAATATACAATACGCAACGTTCTATAATTGTCTTTATAATACGACACGTGACCTTCGACGACTTTAATTATTCTCCTCTTCAAGTTCTATGCACCGGAAATGACAAATGCAGCGCAATTCCTGTTCGAATGACCCAGTTACGTTACATTCAGTGGATGTTCACATCACCCCGAACGTATTTTGTAAAGTCCTCTTTTTTTAGAATAAGTTTTTATAAAAAAAATCTGGATAGTTTTCGTGATGACAACTACTAATACTGTCAAAATAAATAGTAGAAAAAGTAAATTGAAACGATTTTGTCGTCTCTATTATTATTTATTTTGTTTAATTCAATTTTTTGCAAACCAAACAAAACTATTTTACATGTCGAATTCACGCAACGTAACTTGTTAAACTTTTGTTTACATGAGAAAGTTTCGATATAATTTAATGAGGTGAATAGTATTAGAGATAATGAGAGCAGTAGTTACTATAGCCTACTTTATGTTTAGAACGATTTAAACTTGTTTTTCTCACCAATTTTAACTCCTATTCTCATCCTTTCTTTGCCTTTCTACATTTTATTTTCCTTTTGTTAAGCCATATTTTATCATATTTCAAAGATCTTACATCAAATTTTAACTTTTACTCCTGGAATTTTGCCAGTTTTTAGTTCCAGACTTTTACCTTTACCCTCAAATAATGACATTTATATTAGTTTAAACTGGAAATCCTTTTTTTTTGTGAAAAATTTTACTCGATTTTTTAAATTTCTTTCCTTTATAAAGGTTTTCTCGTTATTTAGGGGAGATCGGGGCAACTTCGGCATGCGGGGCAAGTTTGTCAAGCGCTTTTTTTAAAAAACAAATTAAAAGGAGACTTTGGTTATAGGTTAGGCAGTTGAGTTTTATTGGTGGCTTGTTGAGTGTAGTGTTTTTATTGTTCTCCAACAAGCGTAGTTGAATTATCAAGCAAATTTTCATTTTCGTTCAATTCCATATAATATTTTTTTTCCATTTATATAGAATTAGCATGTTTTGTTATAATTCCATGATAACGAAAGTTACTTTTCCTGTTAGAAGGATGTAACTTCAACTTATTCACGTGTCCAGATCGTGGCTTGGCATTCTGTTCTCAGGGTTGTACTTAATGTTTCGAAATCATGACTAGCGGGGTAAGATCGGCAACATAAAGCCACATTAGAAGCAAAGGATAAAAATCAAACAGATGATAAATGAAAACATGTTTGCATTTGTTATTCATGTATATATGTCTTTGAACTTGCATTTCGTTGTAATAATATTAAATGGGTGTTGGATTTGTATTTCTTTGTTTTAATAGTGAATTCCAACTTATACATTGTTAATAACATAATTTTATATACGTGCCTATCTTGCCCCATTACTGTTGCCCCTATACCAGGGGCAACTTTAATAAAAATAATTAAAATAATTACAACTTTACAAAAAGAGAGAAGTTGCCGATCTTGCCCCTATACCCGGGGCAACTTCGTCAATTTCTCTCTTCTTGTAAAGTTGTAATTATTTTAATTATTTTTATTTCCAAACTGATTTTAACCAGTTCTATAGTAAGAAAACATTCCAATAGACAATATGCAAAGCTTTTTTTTCAGTTTACAGCAGTATTTATTACACAAAATTTAAGTAAAGCTTAACATGCCGATCTTGCCCCGATCTCCCCTATATTAAATTTTTGTTATTTTTTCACTAGCTCCGACGTCCTGTCGTTACGATCTCAGACCAGACATCTCCATTCTGTCTATGGACGGTCTTCAGTACGCTTCTAACGAAGACGAATGCCAGAGTCAATGTGACACAGAAACGGCATTTACTTGTCGTTCGTACACTTACATGGAGAACAGATGTTACGTCAGTGGAGACGATACCACCAGCCTGGGACCCGTACAACTTCCAATTGTGAGTGGTGCTATTTATGGAGAGAAAAAGTGTATTATAGGTAAGTGATCTTCTAATGAACACATTAAATTCTTCATATAAAATGATTTCTCGTGATGAAAAACCATGCTTATTTAATAGAGCAATGTACGGGAGGAGTTTTTACTTACGAAAAAATGACTGGTGTTATATTAAACTCGGCCATATCTACAGCAATATCTAGCCTAACTCCAGGAGCTATAGGAATCACATTAGAATGCCGAGATTATTGCCAGAAAGAAGGATTGTCTTGCCCTTCCTTCAGCGTTAACTATTTACATAATCAATGCGACAAATTGGATAGGAATTCTCAAGGAAGGGATCAGGACTTAGTGTACAGAGACACTTTCAACTACTTCGAGAAGATTTGCCTTCGTGGTTCGGAAGCCATGGCATGCTCAGATAAAGCTTGGGCTTTCGAGAGGGTTAATGGTTACGAAATGGATTCGTATCTATATGATCGCGTATTGGCTCCGGTTTTAAGCAGAAGAGACTGCGAAGAATTGTGCTTAAAAGAGAGAAATTTCGTTTGTAGATCGGCTCTATATAATGACATAACCACAGAATGTAAGCTGTGCAGAGAAGATCGCAGGACACAACCTATACATTTTAGACAATCAACAAGTACTAGAGTGGATTATTTAGAAAACCAATGTATACCAAGTAAGTCAATTTATGTATTATCTCACTTTAACTACTTGAAATCATAAAGATATTTAATAATATTAAGATTTTTATAATGCATTTTTTGAACATGCACGTCAATAAATGAACCTGGAAGGATGGGAAAGTGGATGCTTGCTTCCCTTGTTATAAAACAAAACTTGTTAAATGTATCAGGTGTAGTTTAATTTAAGAAACATTTTCAGTTAGAATTTCATTAAAAAACGTTCAATCTACTAACGTTCATAAGCAGAGAATGATCAAATTCTAATGGAAAATTGCTTCTTAAAGTAGACTGATTTAAATAAAAATGCAAATTACGTGATGGATGAAACTTGTTTGCACTTGAAACGATAACATTGCACTAACTACAACCATACAGCTGTAAACTGTATATAACAAATCTATATTATTTTTTTAGCTCTAACAATTTGCCCTTATCAGAAACAAGAAGGTAGATATCCAACTTACACAGACTTTGTGCAAGCGGGTGGGGTGATATCTCAAGAAACTTGCGCTCAACTGTGCGACAACTTTCAATCTTTTAACTGTCGCTCTTATGCTTACTATTCGAGCAGTGGACAATGTTTTATTAGTGGAGACGACACAGTTAGCGGGAGAGGTAGTAGTGCAATTCAATCCCGTCCTGGATTAACATATTTCGAAAGAGACTGTCAATCTGTTCCGACCACATTCACAACTCCTCCTCCATCTACGCCTATTGTCCAACCTCCAGGTATGATAAAAATTAAGACAAGTGAACCAATGAATTCGAATTCTAATGACATAATTTTCTTATAACAGCGCAAAGGTGTGCACCTAATCAGCGCCAAGTGTTTGCTCAAGTAACAGGATACGAATATATAGGATCAACAGGTTCGTTATTATATCGTGGAGACAGTCAAGTCCCAGGAATCGCTAAAGAATGCGTGGAGAGATGCATAAGAGCATCAGAATGTCACGGGTTTAATTTAGATTATCAGAGACAAGAATGCGCTATGCTGCAAGATATCTCGTCCACTAAACCAACCGACCTAAAACCTAGTTTTGGAAAGGCTTTCTTCGAAGGATTCTGCATATCTGGTAATATATTTTTGATTTTCCTCATTCATATCGTTATGCAGCCATTTATAATCACGAATTTCATATTAAAATTACAGTTTTTGTGTCGTGTAATAAAATCTGGGTTTACGATCGTTTCGTGGACAGAGAATTGGTCGGAGCGCAGCCAAGAGACGTTATACAATTTGTTTCTCGAGTAGACTGCCAACGATTGTGTATGGAACAGAGAAATTATGTATGCTCTAGCATTAACTATAATAGTTTCAGACAAGAATGTATGTTATATGAAAGCGTATATAGAACGACTGCCAAAATCCAAATTTCCTACGCTAAAGGTGTCGATTATTTAGAGAAACAATGCTATTTAGGTAAGACTTTTGTCTAGTTTTTAGTATATATTTTGCTCAAATTTGAAAAACTTGTGAATTTTTTTAATTTAGACACATCATCTTGCCCATATGACACCGTTGAAAGAGATCTAAAGATGTTATATATCACTAAAACTATTGATGTTACCTCCAATTTTCAATGTGAGAGGGCTTGTAACGGAGAGCACGATTTCAACTGTAGATCGTATACGTATCTAGATAAAGCAGATAAAAGTCAATGCCTGCTGAGTTCAGAAAGTAGAGAAACCGGACAGAGCTCCGCCATTCAGTACTTTCCACGCACGCTTTACGCTGGTAAAATGTGTCGACCTCCCTCACCGTCGACACCCACTCCACGTCCTACCAGACCTCCTGTCACTCCACCCACTCAACCAACAATTCCACCAACGATAAGACCTACACCCCCCATACCAGCAGTGTGTACTCCTGACAGATATACCTATGAGAAAACTCTAGGGATGGATTTTAAATATGCAAAAAGGGAACGAGTTTATTCACGTTTTCCAGTAGGTGTTGTGGGCGACTGTAAAAACGAATGCCAGAGACAAGGGGACAGATGTAAGGCTTTCGTCGTCGAATACAGTAAATTTCAGAACTGTTATTGGTTAGATAACGCTGCTACAGATGCAAGGAGTACTTTAATAGAGATTAAGGACTTTTCTTATTTTGAGAAAATCTGTTTAAGAGGTTAGCTAATTTTATTTTACTGTACTTATAAAAATCGAGACTAATTCTTGAAACATTTAGGAGAAATCAATTCTTTTTACATTTTCAGAACCAACTTGCGGGAAAATTTGGACTTTTGATAGAGTAGTCGGTTTCGAGTTACAATTAGCTCCATATCAGGAATTACCAAATGTATTTAAAAAGGCAGAATGTCAAGAATTCTGTCTGAGGTCCAGGCCACCGTGCAGATCAGCAAATTATTACTACAGACGTCGATTGTGTCGACTATATACCGAAACTAGAAGAACACGCCCCAATAGTTTCGCACGCTCCAATCAAGATGTCGATTATTTGGAAAATCAGTGTGCTGCAGGTAATCTTAATTCGATATAAATTAATTAAATCAATTTAAAAATTCTGAATTAAACTTCCTTCACTTAATTCTGGGCTTTCCCGCACTCTTTCTTTGCAACAGAAGAAGCATGATTTACAGGAGTTTATTTCTTTTTTTTCTCACTAGCTGCATCGGCATGTCAGTATAGAGAATGGCCTGATAGAATGACACCATATATGGATCGTGTCACAAGGTCTTTCACGTTAGCGGAATGCCAGGGTCAATGCGATTCGGAGCGAGATTTTACGTGTAGATCAGTAAATTATGAAACTTTCGCTCGAGAATGTGCCCTTAGCAGCGAAGATTTATCTACAATACCCAGAGGGCAGTTGTCTCTAGAAACAAGAGCCAACTCTATATACAGTGAAAAAGGAACATGCGAGCAAGGTAAGAAAATGGATAAATTCGTGTAAATAATGCGAAAATCAGCATGTTATTATAAAAATTATCTTTCCAAACACACAGTTAGTGTCCAGTGCAACCATCAAGATATGTTACTATCAGTTAACTTCGATTTTCCCTTCAATGGAAGGGTGTACGCTAAAGGAAATCCAACACAATGCTATATGCTAGGAACTGGACAAACGTCTTTGCAGTTTGCTATATCTTTAGGTTCCCGGTGTGGTACTAAAGAAGAAGTTAGTAAACTAAACTATTTTATTGAAAGATATACTTTAAATTTTCTAAATATTTTATTTTTGTTAGACCCCTACTAGATTTACCAACGAAGTAGTTGTCCAGCAACATCCAGTTATCGTTACAGATAACGACAGAACCATACGAGTCATCTGTTCATTCGAGACTGCAGATCGCACTGTTACCTTGGGATCACCTGTACTCGGTGGCATACCGGGAATAGATGTCACGTGAGTATTAATAATTAATTATTTACTATAAATTTATACACTTCTAATTGTTTTTATTCTGTATAGTACTAGATTCCAACCTACCTTGGCATCTCTAGTAACGAATACCGCTCCTCCTCCAAACGTCGTTATGAGAATTTTGGATCGAACGGGAAGAGATGCTACAGTTGTAGGTCTGGGTGACGAATTATCACTTAGGTTAGAATTAAGACAACCTGAAAGTAAGTAAATTTGTTTAAAATAATGTAGTAAATTCCTATTTTACTTACATAATTTTTCTTCTAGCTTCCCTTGCAATCTTTGCGCGCAATCTGTACGCCAGAAGTAAAAATGGAGAATCGTTGTTTCTCATCGACAGCACTGGGTGAGTTCATATAATTTCACTGTTAATAGGTGAAATTACTTAAAAATTTAATGAAATATTTTTAGATGCCCAACAGATTTGAGTATCTTCCCTGCACTTAGTCTAGACCTTCGAGATAGACGAACTTTATACGCTAATTTTAAAGCGTTTAGATTCCCCTCTACTGGATTAGTAAACTTTGAAGTACAGATAAGATTCTGTCCAGAAAGATGCCAACCTGTAAGTAATCAAAATTTTCACAATTAATTAGTTTAAATGCGTTTAATTTACGATTTTTGTTTGCAAGGTACGATGCTCCAATGGTCTTGAATCATTTGGTAAACGTAAACGAAGAGATTTGGAAGAAGTAAACATTACGAATTTCGAACTTTACACCGAATATCAGGCTTTACCAGTCGAAGACGATAAATCTGTTCCCGTCATTGTGCCTCAAGCGGCCATTGTCGAAGATTTACTAAACAGAAATGTAGGGCCTAGCACAGAGGAGATGACTTCGTTACATACACCGTATGATAATGAAACATATAATACCACCATTGATATAGACGACATCACTACAATGCCAATGTCATTAGCTGTAGAAAGAGAATCTACAATAAATATTATAAATGAAACAAAATATCCAGTTACAGAATCTATTGCGGAAACTGAAAGTAATCTTACAACACCTCAACAAGCGTGGAATCGAACTGAAGGCGATTCGACAGTTGAAGATGTTTTCTCGTTTTGGACCACTAATTATAAATTTCAGTTAGAAGATGGAGGTAATGATGACTTCAGAATGTACGACAATATACCAAGCAATCTTCCTTCAACTGCAGAATATGTGGCTGCTACACCTGCCAGAAATGTTAGAGAAATTCCTCTTTCGTTAGCCATTATGGTTGGAGATGATTCTGATAAGAATTCCTTTTCAGATTCTAGCAACAGAAATGACGGTGAGTTCTGTTCTTTTTTTTCTTTTTTTAATAATAAAAGTACATGATGATTCACTATGGAATGAACAGTTACTATGGGGAATATCTCCGTATAAAATGAAAAGACAATGCATGAAACACGAACAGAGCAATTCTTTATTTCACGATAAAGGTGTTTCACATTAGATGTTATTCAAATTCAAATTTGACTGTGCAGTCATGTGGTATTAAACAAATTAAGTGTTAAGTTCCGAGTCTGTCACCCTGTATTTAATGTAATTCCACTTCAGTAAAGTAATTCGGACTTTCCTAACTTTTCATGGGGAACTACACAAAAAAGATTACGAGTTCCATGAAAAATTTTAAGGAACATAGTGAGGAAGAAAATATCACGCTGGATTTTATACCAGGACCGGACTTACTGTATTTTTTTTTTTTTTTTTTACTCTTTCCGCCTTTAGGGCACTAAGAGGACCGCTTATAGTAAACCCATTATGGGTTCGGCCAGGCCCAAAATGGGGCGGCCGGATGGTGAAGGACGGGGTCCACATATCCGGATGGACTATCCCCCAAAAAATTCCTGGGGATTTTTTGACCAGTCCGGATTCGATTCCAGGTCCCCCGGGGCGGCAGGCTGCCAACTTTGACCGCTCGGTCATCCGACCACAACTTATTGTATTTATAAACGAAACTAGCTACAGTTTAGGAATTTACACTTTTAAATTTATTTGGTACAGGAGAAAAGGCTTCTTATATTGATACAAAAAACCTTTCTTCCTCTGTCAGCGGAGAGTCAAAAAATTTAAATCAAATTCTGTTCCATACACTGGTGTGAATGATCCCATTGTTGGTCAGACTCACTTGTAATATTTAAAATTAAGGTTTTTTGGCCCAGATTATGTTGGTACCTTATTTCAAGACATACAATCCGATTACAGTAATAAATACACGTATTTTTTTTATTTTTAGGAAATCCCGTTTCCGATGTTTTGTGCGCCTCTCAATCTACTATTATCGCGACTGTAGTGACAGTGACTCTTCTACACGTTGGGGTTGCCTTAGGAGCTATGTTTTGCTGCAGGTGGCACAGAAGGAATAAGAAAAAGAAGCATTTGGAAGACAATTTGGCGATACAAACGACGTGTGGCAATTCGGACATTTTGTTCGGTAGCCCCGACGTTAATTTTAGTACGATTTACGGGTCCTACGAAACTCCGCCTTGAATCAAATGTATTTATATTATATTTTAAAGGTAATTTCCATAAATTACAATAGATTTTATATCAAATTGATGTATAAGTTATGCTTAGAGGTGCACATAAAATTATGCGCGACTCTAATAAAAACTCACCTTTTAACGAAAAATATTAATTATATCAATATTCTGAAGTAAACTAAGGCAAAAACCATTCATTTTTCTTTAAAAAATTCTATTTAGTAAAGAAAAATAAATGATAAAAATTCTTTCAATATATCGCTTTCCGTAACCAAATCAAATTTGGTTACTCGAATTATTGTCAATTAGAGTATAGAAAAATTCTCAAAATGTATAAACATAGAGTGCCATCTGTTGATGAAAATTAGAATCTAGAAAAAAAAAGTTAATGTAGAGAATGATCATTATTGTTATCATTTCCTTCAGTAAAATTTATTATAAATTATCTAAATAAAGAGAAGCCAAGCTTAATTATGAAAAATTTAAACGAATTTTTAAATATATATGTATACAATTTTGTTTTTTAATTATCTTTCATTTATTTAAAAAAGTGTTTAAAAAAATGTTAGTTGGATATTAATTTAGTCGCATGATGTACAGAAAATTATGCAATTATGTTATTGATGTTTATATGCTTAAAGCAATATATATTGCGGCTTTTGTACTGCTTTATATTAAATACTATTAAAATATATGATTTTTAATTTTTTAATATTTTCTTTGAGATTTATATCTTGACTTAAAAGTATACAAAATGATTTCAAACTATGAGGACAAACTTCAGGAATGGATTCCTGGTGTGACAATGAACAAAAATGCTCCTATTAATATATGCACTGATGCCAAAATAGATGACATCATTGGATGCCATAAATTATACACACAGGATATAATGTTGCACACAGTATGGCATATGTACCACAGACAGAATCACAGTAAATGCTCAAGTGCTCTCAATGAAAGTGGTTGCATGTCGCATTTTGGACTGATGCACGCTTTTAAATGTTTTAGCCTGTATTTGAACGGTGTTGTATACGTTGCCTCAGCATAGGCACATTGAGAACTGGCTCAGCATACATAATACTTTTTGATTCCTCACGAACAAAAATCATATGGAATTTGAGATTCACCAGCTGGATTGGTCACGCAACAAGCCTTTCCTCTACTGATCCATCTGCCATGGAATGCGGTTCAGATACTGATAAACAGGAACACAGCAGTAAATATATCTCGACACAACACTTCCGGATATATGTCAATAGGATCATTTTTACACTTTGTCTACTCCCACTATCAAAGTTTGTCCCCCATACCTTGGAATCATTCTATATAAATACAGTAATTAATTAATGAAAACATTATACTTGTATATTAAGGTCGACGTATTATATAGATAAACGAAGATACAACACTCTTTCAGATTTTAATGACAATTTTTGTAATTTTTTCTCAAGTTTACAAGGTATAGCAGATTCGATTCGTTGATACAGTGTACACGTTTACGTAAATTTGACGTCATTCCTTAGAATTTCTCATTGTAAAATTGATAAGATGATGTCAAAATGACGTAAAATATGCAACTAATCGAACACAGTGTTATATTTTGAGTGTGTTTGAATAGAATAAAATTGTGTAGTAACTTATTCAGTCAAATTCAGTCAAAAAAGATTTAATGTTTTTTTTAAATTTCTTATAGAATATAAGAAAAACTTCTTCATTTTATAGCTTGATAGTAACTTTTCAATAAAAATTATAGTTTCTTGAGTTAAAAATACAAAAACAAATCATCTTCAAACCTTATCAAATTTGACAACTTGCTCCCAAGAAAAACTCTACAGAATTATGTAGACAAACATAATTTGTTTTGCCTATTCAGATAAAGTAGACATTCTGGTTTTATTGACAATGACATTAAAAGAAAGTGTTAAAATAAATGTCAGCATCGTTTTTCTTACTCTGCTGAGGTAGTTCTATTGAGGATCAGGCCCATTCATACTTGGTGATTTACTACAGTTATTATTGTTAGTGTCCTAAACAGATCCTAATACACATAAGTTTAGTATGTTACTTTTTACAAATTTGTGTTTTAGAACGTTCTAATCCTCCTAACATAAAACGACTGGCAACATAATCTATGATTATAATAAATGGATTTTATTACATTTTCAGAACACAAGTTTCCCAAATAATAGGAATACGCGACTTTCTTAATATAATCCACAATGGAAGTGGTAAGAGTGGCCTGACGTAAATGGAAAGGCCACATAAGAAGTTTCGAGGTTCCTTACCTAGACTGAAAACCGGATCCACAGAACGACAGGCTAGTTCTTTTATCGCTTCAGCCAATGGGCCATCATTATGGTTTCATTTTCTTTATTTATCACCATTTAGCCCGCCAGTCGGTATGGAAAAACTGAAAAGCAAACACATTATTTGATCACCTTTTTTTCTAAGTCAGCCCAAAATACGAGTGACTATATGGTGAGAAAAAGGCCCAATATATCCGGGCCAAACACACAAAAACTTACGAGTCGATCCAGATTCGAACCCAAATCTTTCGGAGCATCAGACTGTTATCTTTATTACGTCGTCTGATTAGATATTCAAATTGAAGGCATTGCCACATTTTATCTTGTTTTTTTAAAAAAAAAGCATAAATGAATATACAGTAAATTTATATTTTCAATTAAAAGCTTTTGTACTGTACATTCAAATCACGGTTAAAGGATGAAAACACGCAAACTATCTATTAATTTCAGTTTAAAAATTAAGGTATTAAATTACAATAAATAATTTTTCAAATTATACAATTTACTCTAGTGTTGTGTTAAAAATTAGAAACGAATCAATTTTAATCACAAAAATTTATTATCATTAATAATTTGATAAATTTATTAAGCAATTTTCTCAATCGTAACCAATATATCGGGGTGAAATGTTATTTTTAAACAGATTTTATTCAGTTTTATTCTAGTTTATTGTTCCGTTTTTTGTTTTCTTCCGGTAGAGTTTACTCTTTCTACTTCTGGATGATTTCTATCTATAAATACTACACAATAATAGACAAAAATACAGCAAGTCAGTTTTTTTTCTATTTTAAACACTTTCATATCAATATTCAGCCTTCTTTGCGTAAAACATTTTTTCATTTTTGGCTCTTTTCCTCTGTAGGCACTAAAAGGATCTTTTTCTCTCATACCCTGGATATGGGCAGGCGCAAAATAAGTGAGACTGGGTCTGGCATATCCGGGACTTACGGCCTATAAAAAATAAAAAATTTTGTTCCTGGTCGAACCCATAATGGGCTTGATAAAAAGACCCTTTTTTAATAATATATTTATAAAAATACAAATTTACATAATTACGTAACTCATTTTAAAAATTTCCAATTTCGAAATAAGCCGATAGAGGGCGCAGCACTTCCGGTGTTATGGCGGCTACGATATTCAGATTGATCGAATGATCCTCCCGTAAAAAAATCATTTCGTCCAGTCGAGTTGTCGTTTTCTTGATATTATTTCACGTAGATTACTTCTATATTTATCCGAATGGCGACGGCTAGTCGAAGGTTATCGTAAGTTACACCCGAATATGCTTTTATTCTGTTGAATTTAAAATTTTAACTTCTAATTTTAAGCCGGCATTTTCTTCATTTTTAAGTAAAATCAAATCATTTGGTGTATTTTTTTTTGGCATTTTTCTATTTTTACTTAAAAATGAAATCGATGTGAGTAAAGTTTCTATTTGCTTTCCAGATTTAAAACTATTTGATAAATAAACTAAAAGTAACTTCGACCCAACTTTTATATTTAATTCTACCAATTAAATCTGACTTTCAATTCTCCTATAGAAAATAAAGGCGTTATTCACAATACTTCGGTTAACACCTGACATTTGTATACATGCTTTGCCTTCTCAATTGTTGTATTATTCATTGTGTAAGGGAGGGTGGCACGGTTTACCCTTTTATAACTTATAACACTTATTTCTGCTATGTACTTGAATGTGTGCGATTCCGTCCGGTGCATTAAATGCCTTCCCAAAATGTTTGTTCAAGTTATACGTAAACTGTTGTGCCGCGTTTCTGATATTTCGGATTAAACTTTATTGGGTTATATATTGTGCTAGTTGGTTGTTTGATGCATTTATTAAATATTTATTACGTATTTGCGCCGTTCGAATACTTTGTCGCTTGATATTTTACTGATGAGTTGTGTGTCGAGATTCCTGAAATTTCCTTACTAGATGATGATATTTAATTTTCAATCATATTAAAGAGGAATGTGTGTGTGTGGAGGTTTTCCACATTCAAACTCATCCTATTGTTAGATCTTATTTAAACATCTTACAAGAACACATGCGTGTACAGTATTCAAAATCTGTTATTGTTCAATTTTATATTTGAATGTTAATTGTTTTTGCGCCTGTTAATTGGTTGTTGCGAGTCACACTTTTTATATTCCTGAAATTGGTATCTCTCCTATGTTTCAAAAGTTATGCTCGAACAAATTTGAAATTGCAATGGATGTTTTTCTTCCGGCAATTGTACATTGAGATCAACCTGAAGTTGGGCTGTAAATCTGCCTGAAAACATTTCTCTTACTATTAAATCTGATTGTTGAAAGAAAAATCTTGACTTGTTGATAGTTTTGAGCATTTCTGGTCGGTATTCCCTGAAATAGACCTAAAGAAACCCGAAAACACGTGATTTTCAATTTTAAACCCTTTTGACCCCAATAAGGTAGTATTTTTAGTTTTAATTAATGTTTTTTAGCATATATAAATTTGATGTACACTTTTTAAGTGTTGTTTTATTAAAAATTTATTACTTTTGAGTACATAAAACTATGGATTCTAAGAAGATTAAGTATTTTATACATCTAAAAATTTGTCTGGCTTCTATTCAGGTATAGAATTTAATATACCGGTATTTGTAGTATATCATATAATTGTTGAGTATTATATATTATACAATCTATACATTGTAAATATAGAAAAAAAAAGACAATTTATAATATAAAAATTTTTTTATTACTTTAATAATAGATAAATTAATAGTGCTATAAAAATTCTTGGTAAAAAAATATAAAGGTTCCAATAGATATAAAAACTTTTTAAAATTTAAAACGAATGATCTACGGCAAAATTATTGACATACAGGAAAGCACTAAAAAATTTTTTTGGTGGCATTGACCTTTCTGTGTAGGCTTCTCAAGTGCTCTGCATGTAAATTAGTATTTAAAAGCATTACAGTCTAATAGTTTTTTCTTATCTTAATGTATTCCTTAATATAGAAGATAATATGTTTCAGTATTAAGGTATGTATTTTTGAATGTTAAACTTATATTTGGTGAATAATAGATGCTTATAAAGTAAAGATTGATACAACCAAAACTCTGTTCCCATTTTCATTGATGCTGTTTTGGATTGTTTTGTAAATGTAGCTTTTAAAAAATTTTATAATGAGTCAAATGATGCAATAAACATTTATAAAATGTTTTGTTAGGCAAATAAACAATAAATTGATTCATGCTTTTTAATGGAATGGTGTTATTTGTTATTGGAACATATATTTGAAATAAAAATATTAAGAAACAAGTGTTTAAACATTAAAATTTTTTTTATCGGATTTCCAATGATAAATATGTGGCCATATTTGATCGTGAAATCTAGAATTTCTCTGTGCAATAAAGAACAATGAAATATTTATTATATTATCAATATAAAAAGCAATTTTAAATTAAAAAATTTTAATTATTTATTACATTGAATTTCCTTGTTGCATAATAGAATTTCACTATTAGAGTATATGAAATATTCACAAAAAATAAAAACAAGATGATAAAAACTAAAAAAGGGAGAAAAGGAAAAACAAAACTGTATATGTATTATAATAAACTGACTTAATTGTCACCAATTTAATTAAAATAATGGTGATTAAAATAAAAGATATTTGAATATGTCATTAACCATTCTACATATTAATACAACTAAACACTTTCGTATAATTCGTTTCAAACCGTGGTAAGGTGTTATATTAAAATTTTAACAAACTGTAAATTTTATTTATAAAATTGTTGCTTTTATCATTGTGAGTAGAAGAGGGAATAAAAGACAAATTGCTTTTTAACATTGTAATTTAAGTGTAACATGTTCAAGGTTAAAGGATTTTAGAATAAATGTGATGATGACAGTTTTAATTATATATTTTTTGTAGTTTAATATATTTTAAATATAATTTGATAGCATAAAATGAAGCTTGCATTTTTCTATGTATTTGATTAATTTTTTAAGTACTTAATACTTAAAATAATAAACTTAACAGTTTGGGTCTTGTGCATTTTTTTGGGGGGATAAAGTTGTGAAAATAAAAAGAATATTATTGATTTTTTTTTAATATAGAGCAGTATATAAATGATAAATAATATAATATAATGTTAAATAAATATCATGTAGATAGGTTAGGTTTTGTTTTATATTTTATAAAGTATAGTTACTTTCTGAAGCACAGGTAAATAAAATAAATAAAATGCTATATTTGTAGGATGTAATATAAATCATTACATCTATAAATCTTACAAAAATCTTTAAAAATTTTCTGATATTAATTTTATTAGCTTAATGATTTGTATAAAGATGAAAAAATTCTTTTGTAGGATTTTGTATTTAATTAGTTATAATCTTACATTGCAATGATGGATCTGGAAATGTCACACTAAGAATTAATGAGAATTTTTTTTGTCTATAAAAATTTTATAAATTTTAATTAGACTGAAGAGCTTATATTTAAAGTATACATGATCATATCCATAAAAGGTTTCTCTACAGTTTCTGTATAATTTGTTACATCATATCCATAGTTGAAAGACTTCAGGATCATTTAAATTTACTTATTTAATTTCTGGATTTAATACATATTTTATACTGAACTTTCTTTGGCTTCTTGATTTGCATTTATATAATTGTTTGCATTAATAAAATTTTGGAGTCTGAATGACATTATCAAACTTATATTTAAAGTATACATGATCATATCCATAAAAGGTTTCTCTACAGTTTCTGTATAATTTGTTACATCATATCCATAGTTGAAAGACTTCAGGATCATTTAAATTTACTTATTTAATTTCTGGATTTAATACATATTTTATACTGAACTTTCTTTGGCTTCTTGATTTGCATTTATATAATTGTTTGCATTAATAAAATTTTGGAGTCTGAATGACATTATCAAACTTCTATATATCAATCTATAGCATGATAAATTATAAGTCAATGACTGGCTTTCTGCCAGTATAACTTCTGTAATTTTATTACGTCGGTAATTGGTTCCAGGAGAGGCGACATAAGTCGAAAAACGACACAAGTCGAATTTACTTATTTCCGAATCTACTTGTCACTAGCTAAACCATAAATTACTATTCCTGGTTCTGTATTTTATTTATTAATGCATTTTTAATATATGGTTAATAAGGATCTATTTTAAGCTTACAAACAAATAAATTTTAGTTTTTAATATAGTACAGAAACAATAATCTAAATTTACGAATGCATGTACTGTAAATACAGTACATACTTGTAAATGTATATATTTTAATATGATTTTATGTGCTTTAAATGCTTTTCTAGTGATATTACGACTTCAATATTTGTGGCGGACAGACGTAAAGTCAAATAAAATGACTTAAACTCGATTTTTATTTTTCCATATACTTTTTTGACAAACGACGTATAATTGGGAACGACGTAAGTCAAGGTATATCTGTATAAAAAAAATCCTTTAATTATAATTTAAATTAGCATATTAGTTTAAATGTATAGTATTGAAATTCCAGCATTCTTTAAGCAATGAATTTTGAAATAATTAGAAAAAAAGGAATGGTATGCAATAAAAGATAATTAAGTTCTGCTATTTTAACTGAATAGTTTCTCACATTTTTGAAATGAAAGCATCAATAAAATTAATAATAAATAATTGTATTTTATTTTTTTAAACCACATAACAAATTACAATTAAGAATTTATATTTTGGATAATTTCTTGGTTTGTTTTCAAGTTTTTTTATACCCAAACTGAATTTTAAACAATACAATTTATAATAGATGCATAATGGGCATATTTTGTTTTCAACAAGATAAGGAAGTTGTAAGATTTTGTTCATCACTTATGGTTGACTGAATATTAAAATAATGTAGCATGGTTCTGTTGTATAGGATATAAAGAAATATTTGCTTTAATGATGATTAAAAAACAAAATGTAAAAACATCAGTCTGAGAGTACTAGAGCTTTGTTTTTTTTAAACTCCATTGTAGAAATGTTTTTTTTTTTAATTTGTTACACTTTTTCTGTGCAATATGTAGAATACTGATTCACTGCAACCAAATATCAGTCTTTAAGCATTTAGCATTTGTGAAATGCTTGTCATTAAATTTGATTTTTCTTGATACAACAGAAATGAGTTTTATGTAGAAAAGTTTTTAAAATTACTTAAAAACTTTTTGTAAACTGGAAGATATAATACAATAAGACAATAAGACAACCATCAGAAAACCCAACCCCAAAAACCTATAAAA